AAAAAAAAGTTAATAATCCAGATGACATTTCATTATGTTTTTTTTTTTTTTTTTAAGCATGTTGTTTCTTGTCCTCGAACCTAAGAAAGAGATGTGTTAATAGTGACTCTTATTTATATAATTTTTGTAAATAAGTTCAAAATGATTCAATTATTCTACAGTACTATTTAAATAAAACACTGCCTGTGTTTGTAAATAGCAGATACTACAATGACATATACATCCAAATATATTAGGATTTTTTGTTTTGTTTAAAAAAAACAGGAAAGTAAAGGCATTTATTATGTAACAATAGTTACAATATACAATACAATATTTTTAAAATCACTGTAACTTACAGCTTTGAGTGACGTATTGCATAAATAAAGCATTACACCAAAATGGAAAAGGTTTAGTGTGCTACTTTCACAGAAACAGATCTAATTTTGCTGCAGTGTGCTCTGTTCTTAGATGTGGCATCCTAGCACACAATCCTGATGTTATCAGCCTGTTTTTTTAAATCCATCTCGGCTTTTTCTGCAGGTGATTCTCAGCCAATGGATGTCTGCTCAGTGCACAATGAAGATAGCTTCCTGCGTTACTCTGTGTCACTATTGGGTTACGGGTTCTATGGAGATGTGCTGACAGACAGTGAGAGGAAGCGCTGGATGGGCCCGGCCCGTTACGATATCTCAGGTACACAGGAAAATATATCAAGACTGACATAAGTGATCTTTGTCTTTCTGCAGTTTTGAATAGAAATTATTTTATTTTATTACGTTTTTTTTTTTTTTACAGGTGTTAAAACTTTTCTGTCACATCGCTACTATGAGGGAACTGTGTCCTTTTTACCTGCTGAAGGGGACTCGGGAACTCCCAGAGACAAAATGCAGTGCCGATCTGGGTAAATGCTGTTCTGTGTCTTTTGTATAATCATAATTTGATCACAGTAATATGAATCTGTGAGCAAACATTAATACAACATGACCGAACCTGTAAAATTAGTCATTTAAGCTATCATCTGATGTGTTCCAATTATATAGTAAACCAGGACTAGATGATATTTATACACTACAGTTTGCAGTCAGTAAGTTTATTTTTTAACTTACTGGCTATTTTTTTAAGAAGTCTGATGCTCACCCAGGCAGAAATTATTTAATTAAAAAATATAGTAAAACTGTAATATTATGAAATATTATTACAATCCAAAATTAGCTGTTTTCTGTTCTAATATATATTTTAAAGGTATTTTAATCATGTGATGGCAAAGCTACATTTTCAGCAGTCTTCAGTGTCACAAGATCCTTTAGAAATCATTCTAATATGTTGATTTGCTGTTTAAGAAACATTTCTTGTTATTATTATTATCATCATCAACATTCAAAACTGTTTTTTTTTCTGCATAATATTTTTGTGGAAACCATGCTAGGTTTTTTTTTTTTTTTTTTTTTGATGAATAGAATGTTCAAAAGAGCAGCATTTATTTGAAATGTAAATCTTTTGTAACTTTATAAACATATTTACTTTCACAATTAATACATTTAATGCATCCTTGCTGAATAAAAGTATTATTTTCTTACTTAAAAAAAAATCTTACTGACCCCAAACCTATTCACAAAATATTTAAGATGTAAATACATATAAATTACAATGTAAATATTTTAATGTAATGATTAGATATGATTGTCCCTTCTTACATTTTTAAAGAATGCCTTGATTATTATTATTTATTATATTTTATTTTTTATATTATTATTTTTACATTTGTGTAAAACAGATAGCTGTATTGCCCACCTCTATTGTTAACATGTTTCTGTCTTGCAGGTGTAGTATCTGTCTGCAAACCTCTTCTGACCAACTGGTCAGCAAAAATGAAGACAGCGTTTCTGATGCTGGTGAGGAGCTTTTGGGAATAATCTCTATGCTGGTGTTAAATTGAGCTCGGCATTGACAGAAAGTCTCATATCTGCCCTGTGGTAAATGCGCCCACCCTCAGTACAGGCCAACAAAGTGCATTTCCAGCCATGATTTGTAAAGCTTCCATCTGTCGGCTCGACTGGCACGATGTTTGTGAACATTAGGCCAAATGGTTCAAGCTGCCGCCCGGCTGATCATTTAGAGAGTGCGCACACACACACACAGCATATTATCTCTGCCTCTCAGCACTCTCAGAACAACTGGCACCTCCGTTACCCAGCATTCTGTGTGTTTACCCTGTGCACTGATAAGTGCTGTTTACAGAGACACACTCTCTGCCCTCACAATCCCAAATTGGCATTTGTGCATGATGATTTCCTGAAAGCTTTTAGACCGCATGACATAAATAGAGTCTTGTGGGAAGAATAAGGGGAAGACTGATGTAAACAGGAAAGGGGAGTCGAGGGCCCTTCATCGTTGAGCGAGCGCCAAAGCTATACATGCCTTGAGATTTACTATCACCTGACTTCTTTCATTTTTTTCAGTTTATAGCTACACTGTAAAAACAGATTTTTCGAAGTTGTAAATAAAATAAATCTAGAAAGTACTATTTCTGTATTTTGTCTTTCACTCTACTTCAAAATTTTGTTAAACTCAATGTCACTTGCCATTTGTGTGTAATTATTTGTGAAATTTACTAGTGATTTCTGAGTGAAAATAGCTTCAAAGTAATTCGCCTTTTTTTTTTTTCAGTGTAGATTTTTGCATTTTCAAATGCAGTGCAAAAACTGCTTGCTAATTTTAAGTCAAGTCATTTCTTTATATAGCACTTTATACAATACAGATTGTTTCAAACAGAAAAATAATTGTTCAATGATGGTTCAGAGAGCAATTCTGCTATAATTCAGTTCAGTGTTGATTCAGTTCCATTCAAGAATATCAATTATGAAATGAGTTCAGCTCTGTAGAAAACAGTAATGTCATCATCCAGATCAGTTCAGTTCAGATCTCATCCAGTCTTGTCAGTACAGACGATTCATTAATATTGCTGGATATTAGATGCCCCCAACTAAGCAAGCCAGAGGCGACAGTGGCAGGGAACCCAAACTCCACCTGTGACAGAAATGGAGGGGGAATAAAAACAAAAAACCTTGGGAGAAACCAACAGAAGGTTCTGATGTGTTCTGAGTTGTTAGGGTATTCTTGTTGGTAGCCTATCCACAACGCTTCAAAAAAAACAAAACCTTGGAGACGCATGTATCAGAGTCTGTGAAAAGGGTCTATAGACTTCACTGTGTAAAGGTATACTAGTAGTCACATGATGTTATTGTATTTCAGAGTGTGGGGATACATGGACGGTCATCAGGGGAAAGTTCTTGGCCATCAATGCTGCCAGCATGAGTTGTGCGTGTCCTCGCAGTCCTAAAGGTCTGTCGCCATCAGCGCACTTAGCAGATGGAACTACTGACCTCATCCTCGTCAGGAAGTGCTCCAGACTCAACTTCCTGTGCCACCTGCTGCGCCATACCAATAAGGAAGACCAGGTTCTTGCTTTATCTCAACAGAAAATATCAGTAGATTTAACATATTTTTTTTTTATGAAAGCGATGAAGCAAATCCATTCATGTTTCATCTAAGCCTCTGAAAAAAGCAACACTCTCTTAACCAGCACACTTCAAAAAGTATCCCTGCTGTCCACCAAATGCTTACTATATAATTTATAATAGTATAAATTTAAAATTATATGTATATTTAATTAACTGTAAGTTCTTTTTTTTTTCTTGGAAAAAGAGCAGCTAATTTTGTTCTTTGAAGTTCTTAGTAACAGCAGGGTTCATACGTTCATAGAGAACCTTGAAAGTCATGGCAATTTGTCTAGTTAAAGGGGTCATATGATGTTGCTAAAAAGAACATTATTTTGTGTATTTGGTGTAATAAAATGTGTTTATGCGGTTTAAGGTTTAAAAAACACATTATTTTCCACATACTGTACATTATTGTTTCTCCTCTATGCCCCGCCTTTCTGAAATGCGTCGAATTTTACTAAGCTCATCAGTCTGAAAAGAGAGGTGTGCTGTGATTGGCCAGCTATCCAGTGCGTTGTGATTGGCCGAATACCTCAAGCGTGTGATGGAAATGTTACGCCCCTTATCATACTGTGATGCGGTGTCCCGGCCGGAGCGAAGAGACAAAAACATTAAAACCCATTATAAACTAGGCATTTGTTGCATCCAGTGGGGACATAATTACGGATTATAATGACTTATACTGTCTTTTTACGTGTTGCGTTGAATCGCGCCGCGTAAACATAAAACCATGTCTGCATTTGTGATCGGAGAAATGACAAACAACAAGCTCTACTCTACACTGCTCAAAACTCACGTTTGAATCATCAGTGGCAAATCCTTTAAGGTCCCACTTTATATTAAGTGGCCTTAACTACTATGTACTTACATAAAAAAATAAGTACAATGTACTGTAGTTTCACTTTCACAATGAAACACACAGCGTCACACACGGCGGGCTTCAGTGAGCGGCGGCGGGCGGGCTTGAGTGAGCAGAGGCCAGCGGACTTGAGAACGGCGCGGCCGGAGGATTCGATGAAGGACGGTATTTTTTTTAAATATAAGTACAATGTAAAAACATGAATGTACACAATAAGTGCATTGTACCAAATGATTAATTTAAATGTAAGTACATATTTGTTAAGGCCACTTAATATAAAATGGGTCCTCCTTTAAATATGAAAACGTACTTACAGAACGTACTTACTGAGTCAGAACAGCCGGCATTATAGTCGTCCATAAAATGTGCTGCACACATCTGAATATTTGGGTTGAACTTCTGGAACAGTGTTGTAAATACAACTTAACCACTGATTTCTAGTCGTGTCCTCTTTTGGAAAGCCAAACAAA